GCCAGACGCCCGCTCCCGGCCATAGCCCCGGAGCCGGGGCTTGGAAGCGGTCTGGGTCAGAGCAGCGCCCCCGTCCCAGAGCCATTGGCTCTGGCTGCTGCAGCCCCCTCCAGCGATTGGCTTTCCCGGGAGTCCCGCCTCTCGCTCAAGGCTACTGGCCGCTTCCCGACTCGGTCTGTCAAGCTACTGGCTCCCCACCGGAACCCGCCTCCTGCCCCGCGCTATTGGTCGCATCGACCGCAGTCGCTTAGCTCATTGGCTGTGCCACAAGTCAGTCTGCAGCCCAGCCCCGCCTCTCATCAGAGGGAAAAAGTCCGACCTAGCTGGTGCTCGGCAAGACCTCCCAAAAGGGAAGAGGGCAGGATCTGGCCTAATGTCCGAGGCCAGGGGTCATAGGAGGATTTGGGCCAAAGCCAAGATTATGGAGTCGGCTAGGAATAGAGGTTAAGGGTAGACCACAGGCAGGGCGCGGTGGCTCACGCCTCTCATCCCAGGACTTTGGAAGGCAGAGGCGAGAGGACTGCCTGAGTCCAGGGGTTCAAGACCAGCCTGGTCAACTTGGCGAGACCTCGTCTCTACAATCAATCCAAACATTAGCTGGGCATGGTGGCGCGCGCCTGTAGTTTCAGCCACTAGGAAGGCTGAGGCGGAAGGATCGCCTGAGTCCAGTAGGCTGAGGCTGCGGTGTCCGTGAGAATGCCACAGCATTCCAGCCTGGGTGCCAGAGGGAGACAACAGCTCAGAAAACCAAAGATGGGTAGACCACAGTCAGGCTGAGATAAGGGGTCGGGGGTACAGAGGTTAGGGGGCGAACATCAAGGCCATGATTATGAGGTGGGTCCAAAATTGGGGGATTAGGGGTCGTGGTCAAAGGTCAAAGTGAGGCATCATTTTCCCCTTAGTTTTTTTCCCTCCAGGTTTGCAAATGGCCTGATGGTTGTCTTTTAAAAGATTCTTCATCTTTAGAAATGCATACTGAAATATTTACAGATGAAACGGTTTCTGGGATTTGCCTCCAAATAATCCAGGCTGTGGGGTCAGAGGGGGTTGGGCAGGGATGAGTCACAGTTGGCCCCGAATTGATCATTGTTGAGAGTGATGGGTACACGAGGCTTCATGATCCTATTTTCTCTAGAGTCGGGGTCTTGCTCTGTTGCCCAGGCTGGAGGGCAGAGGCACAGCAGCCTTGACCTCCGGGGCTTCAACTTCAGCCTCCTATCCGAGTAGCTGGTACTATAGGTGCTCGCCACCACACCTGCCCGATTTTTAAATTTTTTGTAGACAGTGTCTTGCTATGTTGCCCAGGCTGGTTTGGAACCCTTGGGTTCGGGCGGTCCTCTCACCTCGGCTTCCCAAAGTGCTGGGATTACAGGTGTGAGGCACCATGCTCGACCCTCATTTTCTCTACGTGTGTGTGTGTATGTATTTTTGTTGTTGTTGGAGTCTCAGCCTTCCAAGTAGCACGCTACTACACCTGGCTTATTTTTTTATTGTAGAGATGAGGTCTCACCAAGTTGCCCAGGCTGGTTTTGAATCCTCTCCCCTCAGCCTCCCAAAGTGCTGGGATTACAGGCTTGAGCCACCGCACCCGGTCACTTTTGCATATTTTAATGAAAAGTTCAAACAACTGTAACTGATGAATATAGCCCCCCAAGTGCTCTGAACTTTAAAAATAAAAAATTGAGCTGGGCACGGTGGCTCGCACCCATAATCCCAGCACTTTAGGAGGGGTTCAAGACCAGCCTGGGTAATGCAATGAGACCTCATCTCTACCAAAAATACAAAAGTTAGCTGGATGTGGTGGTATGTGCCTGTGGTCCCAGCTACTTGTGAGGCTGAGGCGGGAGGATCCCTTCAGCCCAGAAGTTGAAGGCTGCAGTGAGCTGTGATCCTGCTACTGCACTCCAGCCTGGGTGACAGAGGAAGACCCCAACTCAAAAAAAAATGTAGGTGACATCAGCATGTAGGTGGATGGCCAGATGAGACCTGACTACTGGATTTAGCACTGTGAGGTCACTAGTGTCCTTCAGTTAGAGTGCTTTCCCTGCTCTGAGGCCAAAAACTAGACCGGAGCAGGTCCAGAAAGAATGGGAGGAAAAATACTGGAGACAGACAAGTCCTGTGAAGGAGAACAGAGGATGGCAGGGAGGAATCTATCGCTGGATGGAGAAATGGGGTCGATTTTTTTTTCTTTTTGAGTTGGAGTCTCATTCTGTCACCCATGCTCATGGCCATGCTCATGGCCACACCACAGCCTCGACCTGCTGGGCTCAAGGCAGTCCTTCTGCCTCAGCTTTCCACGTAGCTGGGACCACAGGTGCACGTCACCACGCCCAGCTCATTTTTTGATTTATTATAGAGATGAGGTCTCACCAAGTTGCCAGGCTGGTCTCGATTCCCTGGGCTCAGGCAATCTTCTCGCCTCGGCTTCCAAAGTGCCGGGATTACAGGCTTGAACCACCATGTCCAGCCGTCACCTACATTTTATTCAACCTCTGGACTCTGATATAGAGGCATATCAGACACCAGATGCCACATGTCCAAGATCAGCTCCTGATCCCACCCCAAGCCTGCTCCTCCCACAAGGCTCCATCTCGGCGATGCCCCTCCATCCTGCTGGCTGCTTTGGGCCAGAGGCCTGGAGGTTTTGCGAACTGCTTTCACTCTCTCATACACATCCATCTGTGAACCCTGCTTTAAAAACTTAGCTAGTGCTGGGCACGGTGGCTCACACTTGTAATCCCTGTACTTTGGGAGGTTGTGGTAGGAGGATCACTTGAGCCCAGGAGTTCGAGACCAGCCTGGGCACCACAGCAAGACCTCGTCTCTACTAAAAATAAAAAAACTAGCTGGGCGTGGTGGCACACACCTGTAGTTCCAGCTACTTGGGAAGCCGAGGAGGAAGGATCACTTGAGTCCAGGAGGTCAAGGCTGTGGTGAGCTGTGATCATGCCACTGCACTCCAGCCTTGGTGACAGAGACCATGACTCAAAAAAAAAAGAAAAGAAAGAAACAACAAAAATAAAACCTTACTGGAATCTGACTTCTCACCATCAACAGCCTTCATTTGGATTATTCCAACAATATCCTGACTGGTCTCATTTTTCTTTTTTTTGAGTTGGACTCACTCCATCACCCAGGCTGGAGTGCAGTGGTGCACTCACAGCCACCCCCGTGTTGACCTACTGGGCTCAGGTGATCCTTCTGCCTCAGCCTTCCAAGTAGCTGAAACTACAGGTGCACGCCACCACGCCTGGCTCATTTTTTTAAAAAAATTTATTGTAGAGAGGTGGTCTCGCCAAGTTGCCCAGGCTGGTCTCAAACCCTGGGCTCAGGCATTCCTCTTGCCGCAGCCTCCCAAAGTGCTGAGATTACAGGCACGAGACACCACACCCGGCACATTTCTCTTCTCACTGGGCCCTACCTGCTGCGGTTCGGCAGCCCGTTATGCTTCTTTTTATCCCTCTTCTTGGAACTCTGTGGTTCACCTGCCTCCTTCGAGACCCTTAATATCATATTCCTCCCTCATCTCTACCTTCTGATCTCACCTCTTCCATCTTCCCTCCACCTGCCTGGCATAATCGTGGCACAGGACATTTGCACTGGCTGCCCTCTGCTTGGACACATAGCTCCGTCCCTCACTTCCTTCAGATCCTTGCTCCGATGCCACCTTCTCAGCAGAGCCTTCCCTGACCCCCCCCATGTAATTTGTTTAATTGTCTGATTTTTTAGATTGTCCACTGCCAAAAGAACAGAAGCTCTTTGAGGACGGGTCTTTATGTTTTCTTCAGTGAGTCACCATCTTTAGAATAGTGCCTGGGCTGGGCACGATGGCTCATGTCTATAATCTCTGCCCTTTGGGAGGCCAAGGTGGGAGGATCACTTGAGCCCAGATGTTCAAGATCAGCCTAGACATCACAGCGAGACCTCGTCTCTACAAAAAATTTTTAAAAGTGCTAGGCGTGGTGACGCATGCCTGTAGTCCCAGCTACTCAGGAGGCTGAGGAGAGAGGATCGCTGAGCCCAGGAAGTCAAGGCTGTGGTGAGCCATGATGGTGCCAGCGCACTCCAGCCTGGGCCGTAGAGTGAGATCCCGACTCCAGCAGTGCCTGGAATGTAGGCTGTGCTCAGGAGAGTTCGGAGGAGGAACGGATGGCCCGAGTCCCGGGGTCAGAGCGGAGGCAGGTGGGGCCTGGTGGAGCGCAGCGTGTGCGGCTGTCAAGGAGCAGAGGGACAGCACCAGAGACGCGGGGCAAAGACCAAAAACTTTAATTTAAAATCACAGTGTCTCCGCCGGGCTGCCCCGTCCATAGGTGCCCTGAAATCCAAAGTTCTGCCGGGGGCCCCTCCAGGCTCGGCAGCGCCGGGGGAACAGGGCTCTCCTGGGAGTCTGGCTGGCCCCGGCCTCTCCATGCGACTCTGGAGACGAGGCCCGGCTCTCAGGTGCTCACTGGGACGGGGTCTGCTGCGGCCACTGCCACTGCCACGGGCTCCTTCTGCACCAACTCGGGCTCGTCCTCACCGTCCTGAGGCGGGTGGACCAGGACCTTGTCCAAGATGCCGAACTCCTGGGCCTCCATGGGACTCATGTAGCGGTCCCTCTCCATGGCCGACTCTGGTGGGGGAAGCAGGAAGTAGGGCACGTGAGGGCAGGGGCAGAGGCTGGGGCCAGCTGCGGCCTCGTATGGCTTGAAAGTTTGTGTCCACCCAAGTTCGTATGTTGAAGCTCCAACCCCCACTGGGACACTGGGATGGCGTGTATGGTTTCTGTTTTTGAGTCGGGGTCTCACTGTTGTTCAGGCTGGAGTGCAGTGGCATGCTCACGGCTCACCGCAGCCTCAACCTCTGGGCTCAAGTGAGCCTCCCACCTCAGCCTCCTGAGTAGCTGGGACTACAGGTGGGTACCACCACGCCTAGTTAATTTTTTGATTTTTTGTGTGTGTAGAGACGAGTTCTCGCTATGTTGCCCAGGCTGGTCTCCAACTCCTGGGCTCAAGCCATCCTCTTACCTCGGCTTCCCTAAGCGGGATTACAAGCGAGAGCCGTTGTGCCCGGCCTGCCTCTGTAGTTTAAATAAATGGAATGGAGAGTGCTGACTCTTGTTCCAGGCAGCATTGCGTTTGTGAGATGCATCCATGTTGCTGTGGACCGTTCTGCTGTGTGGTGTTCAACTGTGTGTATACACTCCTGTACGTGCGCCCATTTCCCTGGCCCTAGGCCGGTCTGGGGCAGGTCTGCACACATCTTTCACACACATGAGCGCCCAGTTCTCACGGTTACACACAGATCAGTGAAAGTGTGGGTCCTTCCCACATGTTTAGCCGTAGCCATGGCGCCAGAGCTTCCTCAAGTGGCTGTCCCATTCTCACCCCACCTGTAGTGGAGAAGCGTTCCAGATGCTCTGCGTCCTCACCAGCATTTCATATTGTTAGCATTTTATTTTTTTGAGTCGGAGTCTCACTCTGATGCCCAGGCTGGAGTGCAGCGGCACACTCACGGCCACCCTAGCGTCGACCTGCTGGGCTCTGGTGATCCCTCCACCTCTGCCTTGCAAGTAGCCGGAACTACAAGCACGCACTACCACACCCGGCTAGTTTTTTTATTTATTGTAGAGACGAGGTTTCACCAAGTTGCCAAGGCTGGTCTCGAACTCCTGGTCTTAGGCAGTCCTCTCGCCTCAGCCTCCCAAAGTGCTGGGATGACAGGCTTGAGCCACCGTGCGTGGCCTAATTTTTTGACTTATTATAGAGACAAGGTCTTGCCATGTTGCCCAGGCTGGTCTTGAACCCATGGGCTCAGGCAATCCTCTTGCCTCAGCCTCCCTGAGTGCTGGGATTATAGGCGTGAGCCACCGCACCTGGCCTAGCATTTTATATATATGTTCTAGTGGGTTGAAATGTTATCTCACTGTAGTTTTACTTTGCCTTTTCTTAGTAACTAATGATGTTAGTATTACACCTAAAGATGGTGAACAGCTTTTCTTTTCTTCTTTTTAAACAGGGTCTTGCTCTGTTGCCCAGGCTGAAGTGCAGTGGCACAATCATAGCTCACTGCAGCCTCGAACTCCTGGGCTCAAACAATCCTGCCGCCTCAGACTCCCAAGTAGCTGGGACTACGAATGCATGGCATTTTTTAATTTTTAATTTTGTAGAGATGCTGTTTGCCCAGGCTGGTCTCAAACTCCTGGGCTCAAGAGATTCTCTTACCTTGGCCTCCCAAAGTGTTGAGATTACACCCGGCCTGAGCATCTTTTTTTACTGGCCATTGGGAATCTTTTTTTAAAGCCTCTGTTTAATCCTTTGGACATATTTCAGTGAAGTTTTTTTGGTGAGGATTCTATACATTTAATTTAATTTAATTTAATTTTTGAGTTGAAGTCTCACTCTGTTGCCCAGGCTGGCGTGCAGTGGCACACTCCTAGCCACTGCAGCCTCGACCTGCTGGGCTCAGGCGATCTTTCCTTCTCAGTCTTTCAAGTAGCTGGAACTACAGGCACGCACCACCATGCCCAGCTATTTTTTTGATTTATTGTAGAGATGAGGTCTTGCCAAGTTGCCCACACTGGTCTCGAATCCGCAGGCTCGAGACCTCCCAAAGTGCTGGGATTACAGGCATGAGCCATCGCGCCCGGCCCCACATTTTATGTTTTTAAAGGGCTTAACTGGAGGTGATTCTGCCAGGGGTCACCTGGCAACGTCCGGAGACATCTGTGGTTGTCACGATTGGAGGGTGCTCCCGGCATGGAATGGGTGGAGGCTGGAGATGCTACCACACATCCTGTCATGCCCAGGACGGCCCCGCCCCTGAGAATGAGCCAGCCCTGAATGTCTACAGGGCTGAGGGGGGAAGCCCTGGTTCAGAACAACACCTGACATTTCTGCAGGTGTGGCGTACGGCCACGGGCACTCACCGATCACCTGCAGGCTCTGCTTGGTGTGCTTGGCATAGATGTTGTAAAGCTGCTTCTTGAGTTTCATGATCTCCTCTGCCTGGATGGCAATGTCAGTGGCTTGGCCCTGAGGGACATGCCAAGGGAGAAGAGTCACTGCCAGCTCCTCTCTTGGAGGCTGGAGGTGGGAACTTGGGTGTCCTCCCCGGGTCTCAGGCTTCTAGTTTTCTGCAGGTCCTTTCACATCACACCTTATCCTCCTCCCCATGACTAGGAAGGCTTTCTGGCAGTTATTAGCTAAATTTCTCTCTCTCTCTTTCCCGTAAGAGACAGGGACTTGTTCTGTTGCCCAGGCTGGAGTGCAGTGACGCAGTCATAGCTCACTGCAGCCTCGACCTCCCAGGCTCAAGCGATCCTCCTACCTCAGCCTCCCAAGTAGTTGGGACTAGAGGTACAAGCTGCCATGTCTGGTCATGTATTAACTATAATTTTCTTATTTTCTAAACGTGAGTCTTGCAGACTGGGGAGAAATAGCAGCTCCCAGGGCCAGGTAATTTGTAGATGGCAAACAACTCCTGAGTGCACCTTTCCTATGCAAACCTACCGACCCAGAACCCACATCCCCCAAACACCCACCTCCTTTGCTGGACTCTCACGCCGTCCGCTGCCCTAATCACTCCAGGGCCAGATACCAGACAGCCAGGGGCAGCCCCACACCCCAGAGCCCACTGAAAAGACTCCCACTAGCTACCCTCAGCCTGTGCTTCCCCGTGTGGCCCCCAATGGGAGCTCAGTAGCAAGTTATATTTTCTTTTTTTTTTGAATCAGGGTCTCACTCTGTCTCCCAGGCTGGAGGGCAGTGGCATGATCACAGCCAACGCAGCCTCGACCTCCTGGGGTCAGGCGATCCTCTCGCCTCAGCCCTCTGATTAGCTGGGACCACAGGTGTGTGCCACCATGCATGGCTAATTTTTTCTGTAGAGACAAGGTCCTGCTTTGTTGCCCAGGCTATAAGCTATCTTTCTTTTCTGAGTAGGAGTCTCACTCTGTCGTCCAGACTGGAGTGCAGTGGCACAGTCACGGCCACCGCAGCCTCTACCTGCTGGGCTCAGGCGATCCTTCTGCCTCAGCTTTCCAAGTAGCTGGAACTATAGTCACGCGCTGTCATGTCTATCTAATTTTTTGGTTATTGTAGAGACGAGGTCTTGCCAAGTTGCTCAGGCTGGTCTTAAACCCCTGGACTCAAGCAATCCTCTCACCTCTGCTTCCCAAAGTATTGTGATTACAGTCACGAGCCACTGCACCTGGCTACGAGATATGTTTTCAATTTGCGCTGTCCCAGGATCTGTTGGTCTCACCATACCTGAATTATTGTTACTTTTTTTGGAGATATTTCTAGTTGCCAGAAACCTAAATTAATAGCAGAAGCTTGCATTTTATCTTATTTTAAAGTCAGGGTCTTGCTCTGTTACCCAGGCTGGAGTGTGGTGGTACGATCATAGCTTAATGCAGCCTAGAACTCATGGGATCAAGTGATCCTCCCACCTCAGCCTCCCGAGTAGCTGGGACTATGGGTGCCCAACACCATGCCTGGCTAATTAAAAAAATTTTTTTTTTGTAGAGAGGGGTCTTGCTATATTGCCCAGCCTGGCCTCCAACTCCTGGGTTCAAACCTCAGCCTCCCAAAGTGCTAGGATTACAGGCGTGAGCCAGGGCACCCGGCAAAAACCTACATTTTAAAACACTGCCACCCATGCCCGACTTCTGCCCAGCAAAGCTTTGTCTAAACCCCACCCTCCACCCCGCAGCAGGTTATAGCCCCGCACTCACCCGGGCGCCCCCAGAGGGCTGGTGAATCATGATGCGGGAGTTGGGGAGAGAGTGGCGCATGCCTGGGCTGCCGGCGGCGAGGAGCAGGGAGCCCATGCTGGCAGCCTGGCCCACGCACCACGTGCAGATGGGGTTCAGGATATACTGCATCGTGTCATAGATGGCCAGGCCCGCGGTCACCACGCCACCTGCAGGCAGGGGCACGCATGAGGCGCCGTGTCCACTCTTCCTTCCCTCTTCCACCCCCTGCCCTGGAACGGGTGGCCTTTAAACAAGGGTCGCGAACACCAATCTCTCCAGGAGTAGTGACGTGACAGAAACAGGTGACGCGGGTAAGGCGGGGGCAAAAGGGGAGCCCTTGCTCCGCAGTCGATGACTGTTACTGCATAGGCATGTGGGACTGCGGGGACCAGATCTACCGAATTTCCAGGAGAAACTAGAAACCAAAAGAGAGTGTCAGCTAAGAGTGAAGGCTTTGGGGCCAGCCTGCATGGGCGTGAACCCTGGCTGGGCAACTGATCATCTGTATGATCTTAGCCAAGTCACTCAGCCTCTCAGGGTCACATAGATTCGAGGTAACTATGTAGTATCTGCCCTGTGGGATGCTGTGAGGACAAAGTGAGTTAAACACGTATAAAGTGACTCAAAAAGTACCTGCATCAAAAGTACTCAATCAAGCCGGGCTCGGTGGCTCAGCCTGTAATCCCGTGCCTTTGGGAGGCTGAGGTGAG